AACATCTAAGCCATGTTCTTGGTTCCCCCAGTCGGCCCATGACGCTGCCGTGTATCACTTTCATCAGCTCGACTCTGTTGGGCTCTGTAGCTACTATACTCAATGAGCTCCTCGTCGTTAGACAACCACCGTTGTCCAGACCCGCCATCGTGCACTCTAGCTTGCGGTCTTTCACCCCAATGGCTTGCCAGAGGAGCTACTGCCTGTTCTGGTAGGGACCTATCGCCACAAACACCGTCTCCCTCGGTATCTTTTCCACCAGTAAGCTGCTGAGAACGTTCTCCCTCCACCTTGCTGGTGCTGCGTTGAAAGCCTTTTCCGCCGCTATCACCCGCTTTTTGCCACCCAGCTCCCTCGTCAGCTGCCATCCGTCCTTCCTTTCTCTGCTTCCATCAGCTCGCTTAGTTATCATGTCGCCCATATTTAGTCCCATGATTCCCGCCGTCTCCTTGTGGCTCCCATATGGGCTGTTGCCTCGGAATAGGATTCTCCTGTTGAAAGCCAGCTGCTCCTTCTCAGTATCCCATCTCAAGCTGGCAGGCTCCATCGCCAAAATCTTGGATTAACTTCCACCACCTTAAGAGTAACTTCCACCACCTTCCTCCACCTTGCGCTTTCCCTTTTCCAGTGCTTGAGTAGGGTCGGGTGCGCATACAGCGACGCATATCCCTGTGGGAGATCCGCCGCAGTCTCTGCAAGCCAACGCCTCATCGGGTTCTCCTCCTGTACTAGCACTCCTACTGTGCGGAGCGCCATGCTGTCTACTCTCACACCCGGATCAACCAATCCTAATCCGCCCTCCCTCCTTCGCAAGCACATGAGGTAGTAGCTCTAGAGTATGAACTGTTGGTCCAGCGACGCTTTCACCCCGAACACGAAATTGTGAATCAATTTCCGAATCTGCTTCCATATCTCAGTCGGCGGCGGATACACCTGGGCTTGGAACAACGCGATAGGCATCACATAACTGTTCGTTATTGTGACCCTTGCCGACGTTGTCAGGTGCTGTGACTCCCACCTCTTCAGGACCACTCTCATCTTGTCCAGCGCCTTCTCCTTTGAGGGATAGAGATCTCCATTAGGTGTGATCAACACCCCTAGCAGTCGTGCCAGTTCTCCTCCTCTGCCCCACTTGAAGGACTGCCCCGCTGGAGGTACGCCGCCACGGTGCTTCCCCAGGGGAAACACTACCGACTTATCCTAGTTGGTATGAAGGTCGGACATGACTGCAAACTCCTTCAAAAGCCCCTCCACCATTGCTAGCTGCCCTCTTCTTTTCAGTAACAGTGTAGTGTCATCCACGTACCCCATGTACACCAACCTCCCCACTCCTCTCTTCCCAATCCTCAACTTCCTCGTATAAGCCTCTTGACATAGTGGCTGTACAGCACACAAGAATAGGTAACGTGCCAGCGGACACCCTTGCCTGACCCCGATTTCCATATCGACAAATTCTCCCAGGAACCCATTCAGACTGATTTTATCGTCGCTCCCATGTGCAGGCCCTCCACCCACTCCACCAGCCTACTCTGGAACCCCATCCTCCTCATGTGCCCGAACAGGAAGTGCCTGGAGACTGAGTCATAGACCTTCATGAAGTCCACCAAGAGCAGCAGCCAGTCTTCACTCCCCTTCTTTGCAACATCAATAACGTCTGCCACCATCGCTACCGCGTCCGCCAGCTTCCTGCCAGGTAGGAATCTGTGCTGTCCATCTGAAATCACCCTGTGGAGCATCGGTCTGATTCGATTTGCCAGTACCTCCGCGATGATCTTATAGATAGTGTTCAGCAACGATATTGGCTGATAATTTTGCAGGTTGTCCGTCTCCCTTTTCTTGTGCAGTAGCACCGCCACCGCCGTTTTCACCGCGCTTGACAACTCCACCATAACCTTAAATCTCCTAACCACCTCCATCACATGTTCACCAGCAGGTCCCAATGCGCCTCGAAAAACTCTTTCAGGAGTCCATCCTGACCAGGAGTCTTCCATGTCGCCAGCTTTGATATCGCTCTCCTGATTTTCCCTTCTCTCCTCTGCGTGCAAAGACCACTGGCCTCCTCCACTCCTAGCCTTTTGTCCAGTTCCAGCTCCCAATGCAGCGTCTCCTCTGCACACGGTAATCCCTCGAAGGCCTTGGTGAAGTAACTCGTCGCTGTCAGAAGAACCTCCTTGGGCCCGGAGTTATCCCTCCCGCGTCCTGCACCACCTTGTCAATCACCGTGTGCGCCTTCCGACACTTTATCTTCTCCGACAGGTAATGTGATGGAATTCCCCCTTGCAAATCCGCCCTCATCCCCGCCATTGTTTGTAGTCTCACCCTATTACCCTCCTGGTAACTCGATAAATGTGTTTCTGCTACTAGCAGTTCCGCTCGCTTCACTTTGTTACCAGGGCCTTTTCATCACCTTAATTCTGAGCTCTCTACCTTTTGTTCCAGATGCCTCTCTGTCGCCACCCTTCGCTTCTTCTCTTCCATCGAATAAGCATGAAATCCTGCCGCCAGTTTCAGTGTTAGGGTGTCGAAGTCCCCTGTCCCTTCTGCCTTATTCTGCTATATCACTTTCTCCACTATGTCCCTCACTCTCGGCCTGGCAGCATGGCTCCCAGCAAGTCTCCATAGCCCCAGGCCCATCTTCCCCATGCCTCCACTTCTTAAGGCCACTCTCATCGCAAACCAGTGGTCTGAGAGGCCGAACGAAAAAGCAACGTGCCTCGCCTCCGTCAGCTCACTCAGCAGGGACCTGGCCACCAGAATGCGGTCAATGCGTGAGCTCATAGCTGACGCCCTTGAGAAGAAGGTGTATTCCCTCTTACAAGTGTGCAGCGTACAGAAGGCATCACTCACGTCCCATGCCTGGCACAGCGCCACCACCCGATTGTTCTCCCCAGCGGATCCCAGCTTCGACGACCGATCCAGCTTTGGGTCCGCGACTGAGTTGAAATCACCCAGCAGGACAACCCTGTCCGTCAGGGGTACCCCTGCCAGGAACGGTCCTAACATGTCTCTGAAGAAACTGCCTCTGTTGCATGCCTATGCAGGGAGATAAACCGCAATCAGGACGAGCACTAGGTCCTGCCACTCCACACGGACTCGGAGCAACCTCCCTGAGGCGTGCTGCACAACCTCCGTGAAACTGATTCCTTGTGTGAAGCCTACTACTACTACTCCCCCGGCACGTGTGGCAGGTCCCACCACCACCGTTGCAACAGGCCAACACTGCGTCCAGAAGTTATGATTTTGGTGAACCGGATCTAGCACCCGATGAAAATGCTTCCCCTCCTTGAAAGCCAACTGGTTCCACTTCTTTATGACAACCTTGATCAGGACTGTACGCATCATCTCTGGCATGACTTGAGCCGGAATGCTCTTGAACAGCACCTCAATAACAGCAGGTTCCGCGATTTTTCTTGAAGATACTCCTTGCACTTCGGGAACAACCAGTTCAAGGTAATCCGGTCACCATTCCTGCAGATATGATCAATCTCTTGCTGCGACCTGACAAACTCCGCATCCACCTCTTTGTCAAAAGTCACTTGAAGCCTGCCAAACCTCCTTGACAAGTAATAATTCGGTAAGAGCTCCTGGAACTTGGTCGTGGTATGAACCTCCTTCGAGAGAGCTCCTTCCTCCAAGCATCAATAGCGAGTGGACAGTTTCCTTCATACTCGGAACTTCATAATTGTGAATGTAAGGTACGAGCAGTGTTAGAGAGACCTTGGCCATCGATGCAATTTCAGCGAGCATACCCATGTCAAACTCTGCATCGAAATCGTCACTGTTGTACTCATCCTCTTCGTCCTCCTCTTGTGACAAAAACCCTCCCATAACAGCAGGACGAGACGGCGGCTCCGTTTGGACAGCAGACGAGAGATCTGGCGGAGCAGACATCACCTCCTCAGGTTGCGCATTCGTCGGAGGAAGCGACGGATCTTCCACCACTTCAGGCCCCTTGGTAGGCACGAACCCCTCATGCGCAGCAACCTGCTCGCCTTCCGGTCCATCAGCTGCTCCTCCCGGAACCACGCCATCAGTGAACGCCTCATGTTCCAACGGCTGATCATTCTCCTGTTGTGCATCCTCCCCGTCCTTTGGCGACAGGTTCAGCGACACCAGATGCTCCACATCCTCAACCATGCTATCCGTTTGAGAATTCCTCAAGCTAGACCGAGTGGAGGCCTTGGTGACCTTGGGCTTAGGAGTCATCGTGTGATAATGAAGTGCAGCCTGTTAAAGTAAGAACTGAATAATGAACTAGAGGTAGAAACCTAGAACAAATACTAGTTGGTTGTACTCACTAAAAGTATACCTCAGTCTAGCCTATAACTTGTACACAACTAACATGTATAAGTTGACACAGCCCACTGTCCGTGGATGACAGAGATATTGGACTGATTGAGCACAATGCCAGTGACTTTAACTTGAGCCTCGCACCACTTGAGTCAACCTTTCTTCCAAATCCTTATATGTTCATCGTAATCCTCATGATTGGACGATATCAGCGTGCTCGGCTTTGATTGCATGAACACAATAACCCTTCGAAATAGTTGGATAAGCTGTGATGGTAGGACCTGGATAATGTCAGCCAAAGACCAATGTTGAAGAATATGAACCAGACGAACCATCAAAGTATACCTGCGTGTTCGTATCGGCATGGTGATTCCAATGTAACACCTGACAAGAAATTGGCCAACATTCTATAAGCTAGAGCTCGCGGCAGAATCCATGGCGGAAGGGATAAGGTGCATGACAGACATTACAGTGCCCTCCAGTTTCGTGAGTGAGAGATTTTCCATAACGGATTCAGCCTCGCGTCAGATTCGAGACGAAACTAGCCGCGCCGCATTGAATTATGAAATCGAATGTGTACAACGCACAGGACCGCAGTAGACGGATGCAAGGTTTCCTCACGCGAGGTCATAGGTTGTTTATGCATGTGGCAGAAACACTCTCCGACGAACAGTCAACTTCAGAATCTCGTGGAATGTGGGCAAACGCCCTAGGCAAAAGACGTTATATTTCCGTATAAATTATATTACTCTTCTACACTTTGAGGGGCTTAAACGACAAAGTGCTCTTCAAAGGGGGAGGGGCTACTAACCAAATAAGGCGCATAAGCCCCATTAGCTGAATAAGGCACATAAAGGACCCGGGGGGGGTGCCTATCCGGGTGGATATGGTACCAAGCTTAACAGTAACATGCTGCTGCACGTTGTATGTACGCCTGTGATAGTTGGGCCTTGTGGTCCTGCACACTCCGCCGCGCAAGAGCACACATAAGAGAGCACTCTAGATCTCAAACACATCATCACATCAATTGTAACTTCTAACCTCACCTCCAGCTCCTCTATGAAGGCAACCGCAGCTTGCAACAGCGAAGCAATGTCAGGTCGTGTAACCAGGCTTCCTGGGTACTTCTGGCGCATCCATGATAACGGGATAGCCTTTTCCAACCGATTGAATCCCTCACTGCATGATACCAGCAGGAACAATGGAAAGGACGACTTTGAAGGGTATCGCACATCAGTATGGGAAAGAACACAAGAAGAACACACGAAGCAGCAGGAACTACCGTACCTGACCCTGTGTCGTCTCATCTTTTCCTTGGCGCTCCGGCGGTGAATAGGCGGCCGTTCAACACGGAGCCGTGTGCTGCTGGGTGGGGCCGTTGGGACCATCCGGGTTGAGCCACTCAGAGGGGCTATCGGGGCTGCGTGCGTTGAGTGTGCTGAATGTGCTGCCGCTTGTGGTGCCATTTTTGTTGCAGCCTGTGCCACTTGTGTTGCTCGTGCTGCCCCTGGTGCTCCCCCTTCGGCCGCTCCTGTTGTCATCTCTGGTGACATCTTTGGTGTCATCTCTGGTGTCATCTCTGGTGCCATCTCTGGTGTTGCATCAGTGACAGCCATGGTAGTAGTCAATCGGTTCTGCTGGATCACACAAAGGTTACCACCATCGCCCTCAAGTGCAAGCACAGCCGCTGCTATCTCGTGACTCCGCTCAAACGCTGGATTGGCTGCAAAACCGCCATCAGACCCAGGGGGTGCCAACACCGCAGCTGCCGCTGCTGGTGCTAAGCTCTGGTTAGCCAGCCACAGCTCATCCAGCATCACGCTGAGGTCAGGTGCCAGTGCCGTTGCCCCAGGTGCCAACGCTGTTGCCCCAGGTGTCGACGCTGTTGCCCCAGGTGCCAACGCTGTTGCCCCAGGTGCCAACGCTGTTGCCCCAGGTGCCAACGCTGTTGCACCTACTGCCGTTGGTGCTAAGCCCTGGTTCGCCGACCAAAGCTCATCCAGCATCGTCCTTAGGTCCGGTGCCAAGGCAGCTGCACCTGCTGACACCGGTGCCAAGGCAGCGCCTGCTGACACTGGTGCCAAGGCAGCTGCGCCTGCTGGCACCGGTGTCACGCCTTGTCCAGCCAGCAAGCAATCATTCACCATCGTGCTGCTGACGTCAGGTACCAACACCGTTGCTCCTGCAGCGATTCCTGCCACGCCTTGGACAGTCAACGCGGATCCATACACCATCTGTGGCCATTGCCTCTGAGGCGCCTCAAAAGATTCCAGCATCATGCTGGCGTCATTCCCAGATGGTTCCACTACCATTGGTACGGAGCCACTGCAAGCTGACGTCATGGCATGCTTCCAAGCTGCCATCCGCAGCGCATTCGCAGTTGTCGTTGCAGAAGCGTCATTTCCCGACTGCAGCGACTCAGTGCATTGCATGATAGTACCGGGGCGATGTCTCTGCATGGTAGTACTACCGGGGCCGTCGCCCTGCATGATAGTACCTGGGCCGTTGCTCTGCATGATAGTACCTGGGCCGTCGCTCTGCATGATGGAACCCGAACCAGGTGGATGATCATCACACTCCAAGATCCCATCAGTCACAGAATCCATGATCCAAGCTGTCAGGTCCCTGGCATCGTCCGAGCCAGCATTGATCTCGGACTCCAGGACTGCGGCTAGTATCTGCTGGAGCTCCCTTAAAAGTGACTCGGAACAGTTTAAAGAGCTCTCAGCCATGCATGGGCTGTCGCAGAAAGGCAGGGCGTCCGCTGCATTTTCCATGGTAGTCTACAACGGGTTTTATAGACAGGAAAATAATCTCCGGTCTGCCTGGGCGCGAGCGGGCACTATTACCGACCCCTATAGTCGGTTCCAAGAGGCGAGCAGAAGCATCGGCAGACGGGAGTACCTCTGGAGGAATGAGTCGGAGTTATTATCTTTGTCTCGTAGCCTGATAAACGCATGGGGATCATCACGAAGCGAACGACGCAGCAGTTTTTTCAGTGAGCTTTGGCGCCTGCGCATCCTTCCTCGGATAACCTGGTACGCCGCGTGAGGCATGGCAGCGTTGGGCATGCTTGGCGATTCTGAAAAGGGAAAGAGCGAGCACCCTCGGAAACGAAAGCTGGGCGTCCCGGGAGTGAAGGGTGAAGGTGAATGGTGGAGAGGTGGAGGGTGAAGGGTGCTCATCGCAAGCCTCCTGGACTCCACAACCCATCGTCATTCTGACGATGCTGCCCCCATTTCCGCAAAAAGAAAGGAGCACATGTAAGAACGATGGGACTTCCTGCCTGATCCTGGAAGGCATCTTGGCACGGGAGCCACGTGTGCGGCTGCAATTCAATCTTGAAGAGCAGTCGTTCGGAGATACAGGGTACCTACCCTTCATGGCGATCCGGGCTCGAGAAATGAACGGAATATCAGGAATATCTAACGAGATGATCCGAGCCGAGCGGTGACTGAGGCCGGTCAGAAATATCCAAGGACGGTCTGCCAGGCCGGTCAGGAAAATTCACGACCAGTGAACAGTGCTTCAAGCAATTATATCCTACAAATAAGCAATTCAGAGCCCGCTCTTCCACTGTACTGAGTATACAGTGATCCTTTGTCTAGTAGAACGCTGCACATCCGTAGGTCGGTACGGATGCCAGCAAACGCTCGAACTGAGGACTGGTGAGGTCAGGTCCATCAAAAGATGGATTTCGGACACTTCCCGAGGAAGCTGCGCTCAGATAGTAGGCTCTGAGCAGCGATGAGTCAACGGGTCCTAAAGCCAAACGACTGGGTTGGTCGCACAGCTAGCTAACACTACTATGGGTCGCACGGCTAACGAAGCACTACGGGTTGCTGGGCTGTCAGCTCTGGCTGTATCTGCCGGGTCGCTGACGTGGACGGATGAGTGGCCGAAACTGCTCTGGGCAATGAGCTGATGGACAGAAATTAATCATGAACCTTGTGTAGAGCAATAGTAATAAAGCCGCTAAGAGGAGAAATAATACAGACCCCTTCGGAGATTGGGGGAAGGCGCATGTGGGCATCACGCTGTGATGAGTACGCGTGCTTGCGAAACTCGCGAAATGCTCGCGAAAACATCGTCAGGGTAGGTGTTCCCACGGGAGCACCTGCTGGCACACAGTATTTGCGAAAGCTCCCAAGTGGTGCTCGGGTTTCCCTACAGTAACCGCACCGCATCTACAGCATACACACCTCAGCGATTGGTGGATAATCGTCATCAAGCCCCTGCTTTCTGGTGCTGCAGAAATGGCACCTCAGGTGGCCTAACGGTGTACGGTCACAGCCCAAGAGTGGCTCGCTTCGCTAGCAACAGCTTTTCTACCGCATTAGGGAAGGGGCCCTAATTCTGTATCATACACAATGCAACAAGATAAAAGGTGGCTCATGAGACATGCTCCCCAAATTCCACATACAATTGATACTGCTGTAGACATGTCAGGTCAGCTAACACCACCGCTTTAAGCTTGGCCTATCCATCAACATTGTGCAGCAGGAACCACATCCGTCAAGTCCGCTTCTGAAAAAACGACATGATGCTTCCCTGTCCCTTCTTAGGCGCCCCTTTCCCAGCAGCCTTCCCACCACCCTTGGCCGCCCCTTTCGCTGCCCCAGCAGCACCTGTGCCCTTCCCCTGCCCCCCTCCTCCCCCTATCTCTGCCCCCTTCCCCTGCCCCCCTCCCCCCCTTCTCTCTGCCCCCTTCCCCTGCCCCTTTCCTCCTTTGGTGCCAGCTGCAGAGGGCTTGGCGGAAGGCCTGCTGTGGGTGGGTGGGTGGGGAGGGGGAGGGGGGGGATAAGCTGATTGGCTAGCACGGCTGAGCCAGAAGAGGTGACTTTTGAGTCAACTCAAAAGTTACCACATACAGGTAAAGAGATGCATATGCCGATTGACAGCCAGAAGAGAGGAGTGTGGAAGGGGTAGAAGGGGAGACAGGCAGTCATATGCGAGGAGATGGATGAGGAAACGGGCATGTGGGAGGCACATAGATAGACAAACAGACACACAGGCAAACGCAGAACTAGATAAACAGTCCAATGGATGCATGGATGAACAGTCCAATGGATGCATGGATGAACAGTCCAATGGATGCATGGATGAACAGTCCAATGGATGCATGGATGAACAGTCCGTGCCTCGTGCTCTGCATCGACACATCGGGTTCCTCTGGTGTTCTGCTTGGCTCAACTACCATCATTGGCTCATCCCCTTCCATATCCCCTTTCCCTTCCCCTTCCCCTTCCCCTGCTCTGCCTGCTTCTGTTCACACCATACCTCTCGCAAACAACGTATCTCGTGAATTGTTTCGCCACATCAGGCTCCTCTGGCGTGCTGCGTGATCCCTCTGCCACCATCGCCCTGCATTCCCTGCTTTCTGCTCTTGAGGCGCCTCAAAACTGAGGCACCTCAAAACCGAGGCGCCTCAAAACATCGCCCTGCATTCCCTGCTTCTGCTCTCACCATGCCTAGTTCTCACAGCCCACCCCATCCTTGCAGCATACCTTACGCAAGCAGCATACCTCGAGATTTGTTTCGGCACTTCAGGCTCCTCTGGTGTGCTGCATGGCTCCTCTCCCAGCATCGCCCCATCCCCTTCCCTTGCTTTCCCTGCGGCTTCTTCCACTTCATTCCCAAACTCGTCCACTTCTACCTGCCAGGTGACTGCAGGAAATGTGACAAACACGAGAGGCAGAGAGGGTTCATGAGTGTGCTTAGAAAAGAAGCTTGCCAAAGTGCACGGTTTGACACCGTGCCCACGTGACCGAACGATCTGGGGTGAAAAAGAAGGGAAAAGAGGGCTTGATGCCGGCAACGAAGCAATGAACCGGGTGCGTCAACCACCCCGATGATCAGTAAATGAGATGAGATGAGAGAGACGCCGTGGACACGGCGGGCGAGCGGGGAGTGTCGGCGTGGCAGGAACCTATGTCCAGGCCGTTCGTCGGCGGCTGGCTAGCTTGGAAGCAGCGGGTGGCGCGGGGCCAAGGGAGGCGACGAGTGCTGGAGTTGCTGGAGAGGACGTGGAGGGTGACTCCAGTTATACCCTCTCGGGTGGTAGGGTTTCCGATTCAAGGACTGGGGAGGACGTTGGTGAGGAGAGTGGGGGTGTTCCCCGATCCCGTTCCAACGCTCGCCGAGCCGCCCCTAACCGGCGTCCAACCAGTGACGAAAATTTCCCCGCCACTGATGAAGATTTCCCTTCGCTAGCTGCGCTTGCGGCTCGGGACGATTTGTTCGCCGGCATTTCGGATTGGAATCTGAACATCCTACGCGACAGTCGCCAGCCACCCCTGGCTCGCCACACACCCCTCTACATCGTGACGAATTTGCCGCATGTCTGCTTACCCCCTCCTCCGATTGGCGGACGATCCAGAATCTCCGCCAGCGTGGAGGCTTCTGTTCTTCCTGCCATGTCTGACCCTCCGCGTTGGCACCACCCGCAAACCTGATTGGGACGCCGTCCAGAAGCGTCTGGAGGCTTTCCGGCAGGTTTCCTGGCCAGACCTTTACGCCGAAGCTGTGGCTGCCGTCAATCCCCCCCATCCCCCGCGCCACGCTCCTGACAATACGGGCCTGATCGCTCGGGCTGAAGGCCTGGCCAAGCGTGGGAACCTTGGCAAGGCTCTCCAGGCCCTTGAAGCGACGCCTGTCAGCCCCTCCTCGGAAGAGACTCTCGCCGCCCTCCACTCACGCCACCCCCTCGCCTCACTCGCCATCCCTGACTGGGTTCTCTCAAACACCTTGGAGCAGAGCCCCTCTGTCCGCGCCACATTTTCGGCGCCTCTTGTCCCAGCTTCCTAATGGCGTAGGAGCCGGTCCCTCGGGGACCACCTTCGAGCTCTTGCGTGACGTGGCCCTCACCAATACCGACATCTGCCAACATCTCCACACGCTCACCAACACGGCCCTCGCCAGCAAGCTCAGTCCGGAAGCCACTTCCCTTCTCACGGCGTCACGGCTGCTCGCCTTTTCCAAACCTGGCGGTGGCACCCACCCCATCGCCGTTGGCGAGTGCCGGCACCGCATCGTCGCCAAGGCTGCCCTGTTCCTTGCTACTGCCCCCGCCCGCCTCCACTTCGCGCCAATTAAGTTTGGCATCGCCATCCCCGGGGGCACGGAGGTCATCATCCACATCAACCATGTCTACCTCGATACGCATTCCGGTCACATCGCGCTGCAGATTGACGTCGCCAAAGCGTTCAACGCGATCGACCGCGCGGCAGTTTTCGAGGGCCTCCGGGGGACGGAATTCGAGTTCCTAATCTCCTTCGTCCGCCTCTCCTACGACGCGCCCTCCTCCCTCTGCATCGACCATGGCTTCGCGGCGGAGCCCCTGACCAGCACCTGCGGCGTGCGCCAAGGCGGCCTCATAGGCCCCCTCCTCTTTGCCGCCGGCCTTCATCCCAGCCTCGCCGCCACAGCAGCCGCTTTCCCCGACGTTGTTGTTCTCACCTACGCTGACGACGTCACGTTGCTGGGTCCGCCGTCCGCCTGCTCCGCCGCCTTCGATCGCCTCACCGCCGCCATTGCAGGGTGCAGGCTCCGCCATAACCCCGCGAAGTGCGACGCATGGGGCCCCGCGCTTACCTTTGACACGGAGCTTCCCGCCGGCGTCACCATGAGCACCACTGGGTTCAAGGTTCTGGGGAGTCCCATGGGCACGCGTGCCGCCTGCTCTGCTGCCCTCCGCGCCCGCCTCTCGTCTGCCGCCGCTCCGCTGGCGCTGCTGGCGGGCATGGACCCCCACCTGTCCCTGCACCTTCTCACCCGCTGCGTCTCCCGCCGCGTGGCCTACCTGCTGCGCTCCACGCCGCTCGAGCTGCTTCCCCTGGACAAGTGGGACGCTTGGGAGCAAGGCCTATTTCACACGGCCCTGTCGGCAAGTCGTCTGCCCCTGCCGCGAGGTCGCCACAAGCTCAGGCGCGTGTGGGACCAGGCGTCCCTCCCGACCACTCTCGGCGGGCTCGGCATCACCAACCCTGCTGTGGAGGCAGCGCCGAGCTACCTGACCTCCGTCGCTGCTTCCGCCCATCTCCTGGGTAGCCTCCCGTGGCTGCCCAGTGCCGTCTCCGACCTGCTGGGGCACTTCCACCCCCGATACCGCCAGCCCCACGCCCTTCCCCCCCGGCCTCGCCATCCTCGAGAACTCCCTGCCGCCTTCTGCGGCGGAGATTCTGCGCCAGGAGCGCACCTCACCAGACCCGCCCAAGCTTCAGCGGGTGCTGGCGCTGCAGGTGCAGGTGGAACGTTTCACGCTCCTGCTAAACCAGCCTCGCCGCATGCCGCGCAACCTCCTCCAGGGGCACACGCAGCGCCTGCTCTCGCTCATGGGCCCTGGGGCTGGCGATTGGCTGCACGCCATCCCCTCTCCTCCTCCCTCTGCCTCAGCCCTGGCCACTTCTCCACCGTCGTGGCTTTCCGCCTGGGGCTCCCTCACTCCACCCCGGGCGTCTGTGACTGTGCCGACCATATCGACATCGACAATCCCCGTCTACCCAACCACCTCCTCAGGTGCGCTAAGGGGCCGGGTCGGACGGGTGCGCATCACGCCCTGCGGGATGAATGCGCGCGGATCGCCATCGAGGCAGGATTTATTACGCGCAAGGAGACCAATCTCTTCACGCGGGTCTCCAATCTTTGGGCGGACGTGGCCATCCGCCACCCGGAATCAGGGGCAGTGTGGCTGTGTGACGTCACTCTGACCGATCCCATCTCCCAAGACGACCCGGTGGCTCGCAAGGGGACTGGCTGGGCGGCTAGGGTCGCAGCCCGGGGCAAGGAAAACAAGTACCGCCCGCCGGCTCGGGCGGAGTGGGTAGGCTTTTTTGCGATGGCAGCAGAGACGTATGGCTGCTCTTCCCCCGGCGTTTTGGCTTTCTCAAGCAGTGCGCCGAGTTGGCGGCGCGCAAGCACCACCAGGCGGCCCCCTCCTCGCGGGAGGCCGCGAAGTTGTTCCACGAGTACCGCCAGCGATGGTCGGTGACTCTGCAGCGGGGCCGAGCCGTGGCCCTCAACAGGAAGATCAACGAGCCTCTCGCTGCGGAGGAGCAGCCTTGGGGCGAGCCGGCGGCTCCGCTCCCCGTGGGGGACTTGCTGCATGTGTTAGAGCCAGTGTTGGGGACCCTTAGGGTCCCCTGGCCTGGGTTGTTAGGTCTCACCTGTTGCGCGCTGTCCGCTGCCATGCCTGTACCCTACCCTATCTAATACAAAGGACCAATTGAGAGACAGTATAGGATGGTGGAGGGTGAGGCAGGAAGGGAAGCGAAGGTACCAGGCACAACAGAAGCAACAACAACTCACTTCTCTTACTCACTTTCCAGTAAAGCTCACCTTCTCTTCCGAACTGTTCAGAATAAACTCACTTTCACCTTCTCTTCCTTATTATTCAAAATCGCCCACCTTCTCTTCCTCTGTCATCAATATCAGTCTTCCACACCATCCGCCTCTCCCCACTGTCCCTCTCTTTCACCCCACCGGCCTCCACTTTCGGCCTTAGCCTCACGGCACACTCCACAGCTGCCAACCCCTCCTCTTCTGTCTCCTCCTTCTCTGTCTCCTCCTTCTCTTTCTCCTCTTTTTCGTCCCCCTCATTCCCCCCCTGACGACCACCTTTCCTCCGCTTGCTCCCCTCCTGCCCCCCTTCCCCAACTCCCTTCCGCCCTTTCTTCATCAACCTTATGGATTCGGCCCCAAAAGCTCCCTTCTCTGCTGCCGGTGGCTCTACCTCTACTTTCACCTCCTCCCTCTCCTCCACCATTAACCCCTCCGCCTTCTCTCCCTTCCCCTCCACACACTCCCCTTCAATCCCATCCTCCATCTTTATCCTCTTCTCCTTCTCTCCCTTTCCCTCCTCCTTCTGCACTTCAGCTGCATCCGGCTCATCACCAAGCGGCTTACTTGAAGCAGCCTCCTTTGCTCTTTTCCGCCCTCCTCCAGTCACTTCCTCCTCCCCCTCTCCTGAATCCCCCTGACCCCCTTGCTCGTCTCCTTTCCTCCCTTTCTTCACCAGCCTGGTAGACTCTGCCCCAAAGGCTTCTTTCTCTACTGGTTCTTGCTCAACTTCTACCTTTTTCTCCTTCTCCCCCATCCCGTCCTTGTACGCCCTATTGAGCCCAACCCTGCCCGTCTCAATACAAGCGCCCTCCTCCTTCCCTCTCTTCCGCCCTCCTTCACCACCTCCTTCCTCGTCTCCCTGTAAGTCAGCCTCCTTTTTCACACGCGCTTCTCCCTTCCCTCCCTCTTCATCCTTACCCTCCCTCTCAGCATCACCAACACCAACACCAGCACTGCCATCCTCTCCTCTACTGCTTTCATCCTGCCCAACAGCTTCCACTTTCACCTCATGTTGCCTCACATCCCTTGCCAACTTCCCTCCATTTCCCCCTCCTTCATCTACGGCCGTCTCTCCAATATCCGTTGCCTCTCTTCCATCTTCTTCCATTCCCTCCTGCTTACCCTCCTCCTCCTTTTCCTTCCCCTCTTGTTTCCTCTCAACAACCTCCCTCTCCTCCTCCTGCCCCATCTCCCTGCCCCTCTCCTTCTCACCCTCCCCATCTTCACCATCCCCTACAACGCGTGACCTCTGGGTCAGCTCAATCGTCTGCCCATTCGACCCCTCCTCTCCTCCCCCCTCCTCCTCCTCATCGTCATCATCCACTGCAAATCGCCGCTTCTTCTTTGCACCTCCCCGTCCAAGCAGTCCAGCTGCCTTCCTAGAGAACCCCACTCCCTCCTCCTCATCATCATCATCACCACCATGACCGCCACCATCCCCAACAGCATTGGCAGCGCCACCAACACCAAGAGTAGCAGCACCATTTCCACCACCACCATCCGGCTCCTCTTTCACAACCTTTCGCTGCCCCTGCCCTCCCTCACTCTGCTTCACCTCGCTGATCGAACCTCCCTCTAACTTCACTTCTGCCTGCGGCTTTGATCTCTTCCACATACCCATAATGGTGCCTTTCTTTCCCTTACCAGCATTAAGAGGGGCACCAGCAGCAGCAGCAGAAGCAGCGGCATTTTTTCCCCCTCTACCCTCTCCCCTGCTGCCACCCTTGTCTCCCAAACTATCTCTCGGCTCCTGTTTCACAGCTGTAGCAGCAGCTGCGCTGGCAGTGGCATCAGCAGCAGCAGCTTCAGCAGAATCACCCCATTCTCGTTTCAATCTCGTTGCATCTACATTTCCAGTTTCTGTCTTTCCTAGCGCTGCAGCTTCTTGCTTCACTCGCACTGAGCATCCCTGCTTTGGTGGCCCCGCTTGCTGGTTCGGCAGCACATTTTCTTGCTTCACCGGCTTACTCTCTGAGTGGCTCGGCTCTCGCTTGGGATGCTTAGCGGCAGCAGGAGCACCAGCAGCAGCCATATCAGGAGAGCGGGAGGGCATGGGGGAAGCAGCGGTGATGTGGGCGGAAGGGTGGGGACGTCTCGAAAGCGTCTCCAGGCAGATAGGTGGGGGCTGGACGGCACTCAGCCTGCAGTGAGGGAGACGCAAGGAAGAGCGGAGGCGAGGCAGGGCAGGGCAGGGCAGGGCAGGGCAGGGCAGGGGCGGGGCGGGGCGGGAGGGAGGGGGAAACAAGAGGCAGTAAGGGGGGGCAGAAGGTGAGCAGGTGGATGGGGGCGTCTTGACATGGTCTCCAGGCAGAAAGATGGGGGGGGAACGGCACTCAGCCTGCAGAGAGGGAGAACCAGGGGAAGGGGGAGGCGAGGGGGAGGGGAGGAGGAGGGGAGGGGGGAGAAGGGGAAGGTCGACAGGGGAACAAACGGTGGCATGTTGGAAGCAGCAGTGACGTGTGCGGATGGGTGGGGCCGTTGTGAAAGAGTTTCCAAGCAGCCATCGAGCAAGAGTTTCCGGGCAGATGGGGGGCCATCGTGAAAGAGTTTCCGGGCAGATGGGTGGGGGCTTACAGGCATCATGGGCACATAGAACAGCAGGGTCACGCGGTAACTCAGGGTCATGAGATAACACAAGGTCGCGTTGTCTAACGGTCTCACCTGCTCTCTCTTGGAACGACATCATCAGCACATGGTAGAGCAGGCAGGGTCACAAGGTAAGTCTGGGTCATAAAAACATTAAGTTGCCTACTCTCGCTCTAATAAGATATTAAGTTACCTGCTCTGGTAAGATATTAAGATATTAAGGCAGGGTTACACAGACTTACCTGCTCTTGCTCCCCTCATCCTGTTTCGAACAGCATCATCAGCACATAGAAGGTCTCGGGGTAAACCAGAGTCATTCCATAACATAGGTTTACATAGTCTCACCTGCTCTCTCTTGTTCTGCTTGGCACAGCATCATCCGCACATAGAACAGCAAGGTCACGCGGTAGCCGCCGCTGAACGCTGTAGATATGGGCAGACGCCCCACCCATTGCTTCCTGCGTTTCTGGGCAAATTCACGGGCGGACGGGGCAGAGCAACAAAGATTGGGAATCGGGCACCAGCAAGTTAGCTGAGTGGGAATTGGGAATCGGAGTGGGCAAAAATCAAATCAGAGTATCAGATCCAGTTACTTCACCTTCCCTTGACCCTTTTTCCCGAGGGGTACGAAAACAGAGAGGGGGCATCTGGAAGGAAACAGAGCCTAAAGAAAAAGGCTTGAAACTGCAAACCTTTACAGCACTACCTCTGCCCCCACCTCCACCCCTCTCCTCTCCCCCCTCCCTTCTCCCCACCCCCTCCAAAGCATACCAGAAAGGCGAGCAGAGGGAACGAGGCGCACACGGAACTCCTTCACAATCTGCTCTGCTCCTTCGTGTTGTGTAGGACCAAGGACAGCAGTTCCTGCACCTCCTGCTGTCCCTCCTGCTGTCCCTCCTGCTGCTGACGATGTAGGCACGTCAGCTGCTGCTGGCGTTGCTGCTGATGCTGGGATTCCCCCATCCACGCTACCGACCCATCCCGACACCACCCATACAGCAGCCACCTCCTCCTTGTGCTGCGACCAGTAACCCTGTAACACGCTGGACGGGCGAAGGGGGACGAAACAATCAGGAAACCAGTGAAACGCGGTTGTTGACCCATCCTCCTGACACCCGAACGCACGGCAGTCGATCCCGCCTTGCAGTGTGACCAGTAACAATGTGACGACGTGGACAGGCGCAGGGGACACCACCATTCGGGAAACCAGCATAGAAAGGGTCGATAAAAGGCCGGAAAACAGGGGCGGCAGAAACGAGGGCAGAAGGGGAGGGGAGCGCGAGCGTCCAATGGGAGAGCGGCGGAGCGACGGGGAAACGAGGGCCGGAAGGGGAGGGTGGAGGAGGAGAAAGAAGGGCGAAGGTGTTCTGAGACGCCTCAACACAAGAAGGGCGAAGTTGTTCTGAGACGCCTCGACACAAGAAGGGCGAAGGTGTTCTGAGACGCCTCGACACAAGAAGGGCGAAGGTGTTCTGAGACGCCTCGACACAAGAAGGGCGAAGGAGGAGAGTGGACAATGGAAAGATAGACTCCACCTTTTTGCTTGACGCAGAGGCAAGGACAGCGAGCGAGAGAGGAACTTCGCCGTGACCTGCACCCGAAGAAGGAGAGGGGAGGGAAGGCGTGGCTACGATCCGCCGCCATTCTCAAGATACGCTAAGTTTTGAGGCCCCTCAAAACTAGCGGCCATTCTCAAGATACGCTAAGAAAGTAGGTAAAACGACACATGACTGCCTTCGAACGAGGAAGCGTACGACTGATGCTCACTCGAGCCCAAACTTAGAACCGCCAAGTACGAACACGAGTGGCCAGCCTACTCACCACTACCTCGTGCTCCTTGTCACCTCGAGCCGCGAGTGCAATCTAAACGCCAGAAAACCATAGAGAAAACTCAGTCACCTTGTGAGTCGACACTAGAACCACCTCTCTTTACCCACCACTCGTTCCTCCTCTTTGACCATCGAATCGATCTCATCCGGAACGCAAGGAAGCTATTTAGTCCAAAAGCCCCCCCGCTACACTCACCACTCTCTCCTGCTCCTTGACCATCGCATCGATGTCGTCTAACACACCGGGATCCATCGCAGCGGATTCCGAAGAAGCCGCCGTGCGACTAATCCGAAATATTCACTCTAAACTAAAAACGTGCCAGAAAAAACGCGCGGGAAAAATTGAGAAGGCAGTTGTGCCTTTTCTTTCGCCTGCAGAGACTGACTGGCCTGACGGGAATTCAAAGACAGAAACTTGCTTTTCCCGCTCTGCCGAGGCTGTATTGCGTGCATCAGCTGTAACGCATGTTATAAGGGCATGGGTTGTTACATTTGGTATCAGAGTGTAAGGAATTAGGAATTCCTTACTGAGGCTTGCTACAGGGCGTACGACTCGAACAGTCCCGAACCATCGCCAGGGTTCCAGACCTATCAGTTCGAGCCTCCTGGGCCTTTCCGGACCTCGCTACGACACATCGAGGCCCTTCGATACTTTTCCCGAACCTTCCGAACCTACGACCAGGATCACCCTAGGCTTTCTATATATTGTATTGTCTTTCATTTTATTGTCATTCACTCGTTCACAGTTTCGCCATTGCCCTCCGCGCTACTCAGCAGTCCCATTCATAACACAGAGCAAGGTTAATCTTAAGCCTTGTGGGATTTTCTTGATTATTTTTTTTAGAGTGGTGATTGGGTTCCAATCCAAGACAGTGGAGTGAAGATTTGAAGACCTTTCAAGACATCTCAACCTTCTCCAAGTAATTTGACAGCTTATTCAAGATCTTCACCAACTCCAACCCTTCTCAAGACCATTTTCCATTGCAACCTCTTCTCCTACCTCCACCATTCAAGTTTTGAAGAGAGATAATAATCTCTCTTGTCCACCTTGTTGGTGGAAGGCTCCCTTGTGGAGTGTGTTTCAGATCTGTGATCTGTTGCAAGATCTAGCTTAGATCTTGCCCTAGCATTGAGGTGCTAGGGATTGGGCAACATATTGTATTTCTTGTAATTTCTCATTTTAAGTTATTATGTTAAGAGATCTCTTTCTTGAGATTGTCTTGCCTTCTCACTGCGGTGATTGGGACTTGAACAGATTTCTTAAGAGATCTTAAAGAACATTTCAGATTTGTTGAAACCTTTTCCTTGCTCCACCATGACTTCAAGTTTGGGTTTGGAGAACTTGGAGAGGGAGGAGCCCAATGTGACTCCTGAGGAAGCCAACATTGCTACTGGTAATAACCAGCAGCAAGATGAGGCTATGGTTGATATTGAATTGGTGGACCTAAATTTGGAGAATGAGGGCAATGAAGAGCACGGAGATGCTGGGGGGATCGATGGAGCAGAGGGGGAGGATGATGGCATCGAGGAATGGTCGCTCTCCGATGATGTGGCTGAACTCCAGGCACAAGTCTCCGAACAACAGCTTACAATCAATCAGCAGAAGGGACACATCAACTCCCTCAATATTGCTTTGGCGACACAAAAGGCCAACACGACTAGGCTACAAGCCGATCTCAATATGGCATACGGAGAGGTACGGGATCACAAGCGCCTGCTACATAACAGGGGCAGTCAAATCCTGGCTCTGGAGAAAACGTGCGACCAGCTGCAATCTGCTATTACCCAACTGCAGACTACAACTGCCCAGCTACAATCTACCATCGCCCCGATGCAACATGCTATTGCTCACCTGCAGAACCAATACAGGGAAATTCGGAGGGGTCCTATCTACCAGCACTCACCTGCTACTGCTGGCACATCGGGCACCCCATCCAATCCGCCTCCTATTGCATCTCCTTCAACTGCAGCACACTAGCAGCCTGTCCAGTCTATGGCAATGCCTTTTGGCTCGCTCCTCACTGCGCTCCCAAAATTCATCCATGGCAAGACGGATGTTGAGAACTGGGTGACAATTGTGGATAAAATGCTGACTCTCCACAACGTGCGCATCAACGCTCGTGTCACCGCCGTCTCTGGTGCGTTGGATGAGCATGCTAGCCAAACCATGTTTGCTAGCTGGAAGCAGCTCGAAGCAAGTGGAAAGCTTTTCACTCGGGACGAGTTCTGCGCTGCAATGAAAGCGGCTTTCCTTGTCAAGACAACTGACTTGGAGGTGCGTCGTCGCCTTGAAAACATCAAGTGCGGCGATCGCTCAGTGCAGAAATATGCACAAGAGTTTGAGCGCGTTCTGCGACTGCTGGGCAAGCAACTGTCTGAGAATGAAGTTATGTATCTCTTCTTCCAGAACTTGCCTCAGTCCCTGCAGGATAAACATGTCGCAAATGGCCTCAACAAATGGAGCACCTACAAGGAGCTCAAAGAGGCGGTTCAAGCAACGGACGAGACTGTTCGTATGCTAGCAACGCCTCCCACCGACCAGCCTGAGTCGAGGACTCAGGCGAATGGTGGTGGTGGCCAGTGGAATTCCAAGGGGAAGGGCCATGGGTACAAGAGGCCCTTCCACCAGAATGGTAACCAGCAGCGTCCTCCAGCAAAGAGGGCGAATGGTGGCGGTTACAAAGGGCCGCCAAGGGACTTCTCTAATGTCGTATGCCGGTCACATGGAATTTCAGTGCCGCTATAAGAATATCATAAAGCATAGTGGTAAGCCTAAGGGCAACACCACTGGCGGCGAAGGACCTTCTGGCAGTAAGACGGATTTTCAGAAGTTCAACTAGGGTGTGGGTACCTAGTTGGTCAGATAGATCGAGGGGATGAGGCATATGCTTTATGTGATGATAATTTACTAAAGCTAGAGAAGCTTGCTGAATGCAAAATCTCTTGTTTGTTTGCCTCTTCTTTTTATAAAAAATCAATGTTTGCACCTCGATCGTACCCACTTGATGCTATATCCATCGAAGCGTTACGAGATAAATTCTCAGTCGTTTACTGTGGCCTAGACACATTGCCTTCTGTACTCGATGTTGTGAGTCGTTGTACTCAAGAGCACCCCCTGACTGCCGTCGCCGTGATGACTCGTACAGTAAAGGGCGAAACGTTCAAATCGCTTCGTGGATGGGTGGTGCTGGCGTCGTGGGACAAGGGACACCATGTGTGGTGGACCAAATCTGAATCCTTTGGACGAGCCCGCCACAATGTCAAGGTGTACTACAAACCCTAATCGAACATTGTGGCATGCCCCATCCGCCCAATGCATCAACAAAATCTACTCATCTCGGGTCGCGTTAATGGACGTAGCGCGAAAATTCTTGTCGATACAGGTGCCACTGTTTCCCTCTTTGATGAAAAGTGGGTCACACTGTATGGGGTCCTCGTTGAAGAAGCGTCATGTCCTATTCGTCTAGGTGATGATAGTCTTATCCCAAGCAAAGGACGGACAATTATCAACATGGAAATCCAAGGCTGTAGCGAAAAGATTCGCACTTACGTTCTCCCCTTGCTTGCGGGTGTCGACGTAGTCTTGGGAATGGATTGGTTACGTGCAAATGAGGTTATTCTGGATTTCCATGATAATACAGTTTCTTTCACCAAGAAAGATGAACCAATCCAGTGGCAGGTGTCTCTCGACACAACCATCCCGGGGGTTCAAATTACGAAAAGTCCGGACGTGTGCTTTGCTCTTGCATGTCAATTCAGACAGCATTACTGCATTGCTAACACACTTTTCGTCGTACAGCTCGAGGAAGCTGGAACCCCAACGCCAGACATTGAGGATTTTCCACCTCAGATGAAGGTATTGGCGAATGAGTTTAAGGAGGTTTTTGAGTCTATTCGAGACGGACTCCCTCCTGACCGCGCCGTGGGCCACACCATCCCTGTGGAGCCTGGAAAGCTCCCACCGTTTCGACCTCTGTATCGCCTCAGTCCAGCTGAGTACGAGGAGGCTAAACAACAGATTGAGGAGTACCTCAGGAAGGGATGGATTGAGCCAAGTGCATCACCATATGGAGCACCAATCTTGTTCGTTAACAAGAAGGGTGGTGGCTTACGCATGTGCGTCGACTACCGCGCCTTAAACAAGATCACGATCAAGAACAGATATCCTCTTCCAAGAATAGAAGACCTGTTCGATCGACTCCAGGGTGCTCAGTGGTTTAGCGCGTTGGATCTGGCACAGGGGTACCACCAATTGCGCATCACTGAGGAAGATGTTCCGAAGACGGCGTTCCGTTCGCCGTTTGGCCATTTTCAATGGCGCGTGCTGAGCTTTGGCTTGACCAATGCTCCGGCCTCTTTTCAAAGGGCCATGAACAATGTGTTTCGCGAAGCTATCAGATACTTCGTTCTGGTTTACCTCGACAATATCTTGGTTTATTCCAAGACTGAAGAGGAGCACACTCAACACCTAAAATGGGTGCTAGGGAAGTTGCGAGAACACAAGTTCTATGCTCGTTTATGGAAATGCCATTTCTACAAACGTGAGCTGGAATACCTCGGTCATCTTGTCAGGAACAACGGACTTAAAGTCGACCCCAAGAAGGTGGTGGCTGTTCAGAATTGGCCCGTCCCACAGGACGTGGGCCAGATCACGTCCTTCCTAGGCCTGGCCAATTATTTCCGCCGGTTCTTGGAAAATTACTCGACTGTCGTTGCTTCTCTGACAGCACTCACTCGAAAGGTAGTGCATGGGAGTGGACTCGAAAATGTCAAGAGGCATTTGACGAAGTCAAAACAAAGCTGACCAATGCTCCGGTTCTAGTATTGCCAGATCCTTCTAAACCCTATGAGGTGGTCACAGACGCTTGACAGTAGGGATTGGGGCGGTACTCTTGCAGGAGGGCCGTTCTGTGGCATTTGAGAGTAGGAAGCTCTCCTCGGCAGAGCAACACTATACGACGTCAGAACAAGAGTTGCTGGCAGTCGTACATGCGCTGCGAACATGGCGATGTTATCTGGAAGGTGTGGAGTTTGTGGTCACGACAGACCACTGTCCGAACACCTATTTCTCTACTCAAGCTACGCTCACTCGGCGCCAAGCCCGCTGGGCAGAACTCCTTAGTGGGTTCACATTCGATATTCGATATCGTGCGGGTTCTACGAACATGGCTGACCCCCTCAGCAGACAGCCGATAGGGGCAGCGATTGGGCTTGATGAAACCGAGGATAAGGCAGTGGTTGCTGCTTGTTTCGGTATTTTATTGTGGCTCAAGTGAGTGAGGTCACCTTCACTGGTTTTCTGAAACGCATCCGCACAGGATACCATATTGACTCCTGGTTCCAGAACCCACAAAATACGAAGGGCCTCAAGTACGAGCATGAGCTGTGGTGGCGAGAGAAAGAGATTGTGGTACCCCACGCGGGTAACCTGCGGAATGATATAATTGAGGAAGTGCATAGCACCAAGTACGGGGGACACCTGGGTATCAAGAAAACCCGGTGGGCCTTAGTGATGTGTACTGGTGGCCTGGATTGGGGACTGAGGTCCAACAATTCGTGTCGCGTTGTGATGCATGTGCACGCAACAAGTCAGACACGAAAAAGCCCGGTGGTTTGCTTCAACCACTGGAGATTCCAGACGAACCCTGGGAGAGTGTCTCACTGGATTTCATCACAGACCTCCCAAAAACACGCGATGGTCATACTGCGATCCTAGTCTTTGTGGATCGATTGACCAAAATGGTACCTCGTTGCTACCATAACAGACGTATCTGCGGAAGATACGGCCAAAATGTTTGTAGCATATGTTTTCCGCTTACACGGGTTACCACGTGTACTGGTGTCCGATCGAGATCCGCGCTTTACAAACCGGTTCTGGCAGGAAGTTACACGGACACTTGGAACGAAGCTAAAGATGTCGTCAGCCTTCCATCCCCAGACGGATGGGCAAACAGAGTGGACGAATCGTACTCTTGAGCAGATGCTTCGTTCCTTCATTGGCCCAACTCAGGATGATTGGGATGACTTGTTACCTGTGGTTGAGTTTGCAGTGAACAATTCTGTCCATGAAGGTACCCATGAAAAACCCTTCATTCTGAACTGTGGTCGGCATCCCACGACACCTGCTACACATGGGATCGGCGGACTGCGAGTCCCTGCCGCGAAAGACTTTGTGGGCAAGCAGCAAGAAGCGCTCAAATGTGCTCGCCGCTGGCTGCAGCTGTCTCAGCAACGACAAAAGTCTTATGCCGACATCAAATGCCGGGAAGTCTCTTTTGAGGTTGGAGACAAGGTATTATTGAGCACGAATAACATTCGTCTCAAAATCCCTGGGGCACGAAAGTTGTTCCCTCGATGGATTGGGCCGTTCGAGGTGATCCAGCGTGTTGGTGTGGTAGCTTACAAGTTGAAGTTACCCGATACATTGCAGATTCACAATGTCTTCCACGTGTCTCTGCTCAATAAGTACGTTGCTGAAGGCAAGTACTTACCTCTGCCAACGATCGTCCTCGGAGAGGAACTCTTTTATGAGGTCGAGCGGGTGCTCATGCACCGTGATCGACAACGCGGCCGCAAGACAGTACGCGAGAACCTTATTAAGTGGGAAGGCTATGGGCCTAAACACAACTCATGGGAACCCGAGGAACATTTGACCGAAACTGCGGTTCACGGATATCTGGAAGACCTGGCTCAAAGCGCAGCCTCACAACCAGTGGATGGTGTTGACCTTGGTCGTAATATGGTTCGGCGCGCTCGAAGCACCCGTCCCCAGAAGCGCTCTACGGCAACAAGGACGTTGCCACCTGGAGGGGGAGGAGTGTAACGCATGGCCTCTGCACAGTACGCAGGCCTAGAAACGACTGTCCCAACTACCTTCCACAAATTGGCTACCTATGCTAAGTAACGCGAAATGGGAAGAAAGGGTTGGGAGGGGAGGATTGGGATTGGTCGATACTTGGGACCAATCAGATTTTAGTTGTACAAATTGAGTTGGCGAAATTCCCAACTCACGCGATGGTTGGTTTTGCGACCAATCAGAAACAGGGAGTTGGTTGGCAATACCAACTCAACTCGAATATTCTTATGTTGTACACTATATGCTAATCTGAATACATTGTTGTAAACCTCTCATTGGTTGGAAATCCAACCCTTTACCACATAAGCTAGCTCACCTCCTTGGAGCCATGGAGGATGTTTAGCAGCTGCTGGGAGTCATTGGAAGGGGTCTGGGCTGAGAAGCTCATTCTCAACTTCCCACTCCAAGAAATCAATCTTGAAATGGGATTTTTCTCTAAGTCATTAGCTCTTCTCACAAGCCTTCCTACACTAGTTGTTTCTAGTGTGATCTCCTAAGGGAAGACCTACCCAACCAGAGCCTCAAGCGCTGTTCTTCAAGGGCCTTCCTCAAGCTTAAGCTATCTCTTAGAGGAGGTTCCTCCTAAATACCACGCTAGGAGGTCGCTAGTTGGTTTTGTACCTCATTATTATATCATAGGATCTTGGGTGTTAGTTTTGACTCCAACCCTTGTTGGCCCATGTTATAAGGGCAAGGGTTGTTACATCAGCCGCCATGCCATTGGTGGAAGAAGGGTCTTGCGAAGAGGTAACTTCGAATGACAGGTATAATTTCTGGGGTTTTAGCTTCTGCAGTCAACTCAGTGGGGAAAATTATTGCTGCTGCCGTCACGCTGACATGACGCGTTTCTATACGTTTGAAACTTACCGAGGCAGCCCAAACCCCTTCATCCAGCTATATCAAATGGTAATTTGCTGCCAGATGCCGTCATTATTATTCCACGCACTCTCAGTTATTATTCATAACATCTGGTATCAGAGCTACTTTCCTGGTTTACATCGTTTTCTCATAGTAGTTTATTTCCAAGGCGAGGTTAACCTTGTGGGGTTGTAAAGCGGTTCTCCGTGAACTCGATTAATTAGCTCATACAAGTACGATAGCGTTTGCACCCCCATGCGGTTTTTATCACGGCCTTCCCCCAGCCCGAAAGGCGTAGCATTCGCATCATGACTCAGGCCCAACTTGACGAGGTCAAGGCTCATATGCAGGCAATGCAAGCCCAGATGGCGAGTTTGAACAGTGAAGTCGTGAAACTCCGGACGGAGAGCACCGAGCTTCGCCAAACGTGTGGTCAAGCGCGTCAGGAGTCGCCTGGAGTCGCAGATAATGATGTCAAGCAAGAAGTCAATGACACGGCGAGCGAAACCGTCCTTAACGAGCTCGCACGGGAGTTGGAGCAGGACAACGTGCACACTGTGGCGGTGACGAAGATTAAGCTGAAGCCGGCCACGTTGCCCCTGTTCAACCCTTCGGACAAGGCGACGACAGTACAAGGGTGGCTGTTCAGCATGGAAATATTCTTCACGGCTACAAGTGTGCATGCAGATGACGCGCGCATTGATTATGACGTGTCGTTGCTCAGAGGACCGACGTTGGATTGGTGGCTACGACAGTTGGCGATTGGGACTACGGCTGGGGAGCTCGAGAAAGAAGGACCTTACGACGTGGATTACTCCGCTGTGAAGATCGATGGAATGCTATCGCTTGACGTGAAGCTGCGTGTAGCGCATCCCGATATGCAAACGCCAACCCACGCGGAAGTCCACATCAACGTGGGGTGGCAAAATTTGCGCACACGGAAGCGATTCACGGCGTGTTGGGGCAGACCTACCGCGCCGACCGCGCGCAGAGGGCTGTGAACTTTCGGAAGCTGGTAGCGGCTCTGTACCACGGGGTATCTACGGACGTCGAAGAGGGGAAGGGCTTCTTGGATGACACTCTACGCTCCTGCGAGTCCAGCTCAGTACTCGCTGCAGAATGTGCATTTGTAGCGTATCGTCATACCTAGCTCCGTTTCTTACCTTCCTTGTACCCCACTTGTATTATATGGGGTTGGCTATATTAGGTTGGGAGCGCTACCATGATATAAGCTCTGTAATCTCCGCACACTCTGCATTTGTCGCATATCGACCTAAACTCATTTCTAGCTTGCAATGTCCTCTACCATCCTACATTTACTATGTAAGGGCCTAGGTATATTGGGGTGTTCCATCTATTGTGAGCTCGACTTGGTTTCATTTTAGTTTCCTTTCACACCTATTTCTGTCTTTGGATAGATGAAACGCTTTTGGATTGAACATGGTTGAGGAAAGGATTGGAGTGAAAGGGAAGTCACTATCATTTGCTAGGTTGAGGAAAATATTTGTGAGGAACGGAATTCTCTAGCGAGGATTTGGTGCATTTTCCAGGGTGGGTGGTCCTCTGTTGCGAACACATTTCACTCCACCCAGGTGACTTTCATTTGTTCCAGATAGATCTGCAGGCCACCTGATAGATCTGCAGGCTACCTGATAAAAAAGGCCTGAACGGCTTCCAGATCAGTGCTTGAGATAAGGGCGTAGAACCAATTCCAGCTGTTGTTCCGAAATCCGACAAGGCTATTTTTTCGGTAGCGTCGCAAGTGCGTTTCATGAAACTGCTTGCCTGGGCCAAACACCAACACCAGATCCGAAATCAGTTTTTTTGCGAGAGGAGTCCCGAAGTCCTTTTTCCTACACATGCGACTCGTCTCTAGGAAGGCCAAGGGTCTAGCAACAGTTCTACTCTACAGTACCCGCTGTCTTGTTCTCTCTTGCAGAACAAGGGTCTTGACTTGACTTAGACATTCCCCTCCCATGCCCGAGTCCCTCCCCTTCCCCCCTCCCCTCCTTGAGATCAACCTGTTTTCAAGCACCCTTCCCCTCTCCCGCCCACCCAAGCTCTTAGGGAAGCTCCGCGATCTGCTCCGCCGCGTTACTCATCTTTGCCAGAGTCTCCTTGGGCAACTTGCCGTCTCCCACACCCACCCACTCCTCCACGCCCGCCCAATCTTCCCCCCACACACAACCTGAACTGTATCCTAACGTATTTTGAGTCTACTCAAAATACAACTTGCCGTCTCCCACGCCCACCCACTCCGTCACGCCCGCCCAATATTCCCCCCCCACACACAACCTGAACTGTATCCTAACTCATCCCTCTGTCATCATCCCTCCCGATTCCACCCAAATGCCATTTGTATCTGGAAATCTGCTGCTCTCTTACTTTCCTCAACTATTTCTGGTTTCCAAACGTAGGAAAGCCCTTACGACCTCACAATAGCCTATCAGGACGGCCAAGATGACTAGAGATACGAGCCTAAGAACTGGCAGCGCACGCCTGCTGGTTCTGGCCCTATCCCTTCTAGTACTCTGCTTTCCCTCAACAGACGCGTACATATTTGAAATCATTGCGAGCCCTGAGGTGCAAGCAAAGTGCGAGGCTGCCACAAATGTTTCCTCGTGCACATGCTCCGACGTTCCGGGAATCTCGGGGAACTTCGAGCACGGCTGGTTCGACAACCAAATGATCGACTCCTTCGACTGGCTCGACCGAGCAGCGTGTTGCTCCAAGTGCGCAGAAAACTCCGACTGCACGTTCTGGCAACTCGTCCCTGGGTACCCGGCCGACGAAAGAGAGCCTGCCTCGTGAGTACCGGGCCTGAGAATAGTACCGAGTAATAGGGCGAGGTACCAGGTAAGATCAGCCCTAAACCAGGAAATGGTTACGGCCCGCGCAAGAAGTACAACAGGTACTGAAAATAGATACTCTGTCGCTACATGTGCTTCGCTAACAGTAGTCCCGAATCTGCCTTTCTCGTTCCTTTCCTGTGCGTTTCTGCAGCCCGGATATATGTAAGCTATACGCTGGCACGCCGAATTGTCGAAAGTTTTTTCCGGGCGGTGCAGGCATCGGGGCAGGCTGCCGTTCTAGCGTTACAAACGACCCGCACCTGGTGGGGGCCCACGGCACGCGATATGACTTTAACGGCCGACCGGACCGCACGTTCTGCCTGTTGACGGATCGCGATGTCCACGTGAACATGCTGCTGCGAGGATACTATAGCGAGGATACGACAGACGCCGCCCTCGTTGTGGATGGAAAGGCTGTGCACACCTGGATTAAGTAAGTATAGTTTCCTCGTTACCTACTGATCCTAGGTAGACTGACGACCTGCTCTTCCAAGCCCTTGCGTCTTCAAGTGATATCGATCTGCTCTTGTTCCACCGACCCCATTATTTGTCAAACCCGAACCCTCCCCTCTCCTGCTCCTGTTTCTTCCCAATCTCCCCGCTGACAGGGAGCTCGGCATCGTGTGGTTCGCGAATGGAGCGACACATACCGCTCGCTTGGTGGCGCGGAACGGCAAGCAGCAGCTTCGAGGGGACGGATTCATGAAGGCGATCGAAATCGACGGCCAGAAGCAGCCGCGCATGAAAGTGGGCGACCAAATCGTCCCATCTAACGGCAGTGCTCTCACAATAAGTTTCCAGGCGTTGGAGAAAGAAGGCCCCTACGATGTGGATCACTACACTTTGCTTATTGACAGGCTGTTATCGATTGATGTGAAGCTGCGTGTAGCGCATCCGAAGCTCCAAACACCAACTGACGCGGAAGTGCACATCAACATGGGGGTGGCGGAATTTGCGCACACCGATTCTGTTCACGGTGTGTTGGGGCAGACTTACCGCGCGGACCACGCGCAAAGGGCTGCAGACTTCCAGAAGTTGGTAGCAGCTCTGCACCATGGGGTCTCCGCTGATGGGGAAGAGGGGAAGGGTTTTTTGGATGGTACCCCGCGCTCCTACGAGTCGAGCACTGTACTCGCTGCAGATTGTGCATTTGCAGCTTTTCGGCACATCTAACCTTGCTTATTTGCAGTCTCTTTGTGTTTCCCATGTTTCTTTGTTGTTGTTGGGCTGAGAAAAAGCCCTTAGGATCTTTTCAGACACTAAGTCCCAGCTGTGAAGACTTGAGCCTTTGAGTAGTGCAGCGGAAGTTGAGACGGTTGAACCCTTGTACTAGTATGTGAGAACAAGTTGTCAACTTATACATATTATCTATGTAGAAGTTATAGGCTAGACTGAGGTATGCTTCTAGTGAGTACAACCAACTAGTATTTGTTCTAGGTTTCCACCTCTAGTAATCATTCGTTTCTACGTTAACATGGTATCACGCTTAGGTTAGGATCCCCCCGCCTACCGCTTCCGCCCGTCGCGCCTCCTAGGCCCCGTCGCGCCCCCTAGGCCCCGTCGCGCCCCCCCTGGGCCCCGTCGCGCTCGTTAGGCCCCGTCGCGCCCCCCCTGGGCCCCGTCGTGCCCGCTGGGCCCCGTCGCGCCTCCTAGGCCCCGTCGCGCTCCCCCTAGGCCCCGTCGCGCCCGCTGGGTCCCGTCGCGACCCCTAGGCCCTAACGCGCCCCCGCTGGGCCCCGTTGCGCCTCCTAGGCCCCGTCGCGCCCCCCATGGGCCCCGTCGAGCCCGCTGAGCCCCGTCGTGCCTCCTAGGCATCGTCGCGCCTCCTAAGCCCCGTCGCGTCCCCCCCCTCTGGGCCCCGTCGCGCCCGTTCGGCCCCGTCGCGCCCCTCCTAGGCCCCGTCGCGCCCGCTGGGCCCCTTCGCGCTTCCTAGGCCCCGTCGCGCCTGCTAGGCCCCGTCGCGCCCCCCCTGGGCCCCGTCGCGCCCGTTAGGCCCCGTCGCGGCCCCCCTGGGCCCCGTCGTGCCCGCTGGTCCCCGTCGCGCCTCCTCGGCCCCGTCGCGCCCCCCCTGGGCCCCGTCGTGCCCGCTGGGCCCCGTCGCGCCCCTTAGGCCCCGTCGCGCCCGCTGGCCCCTGTCGCGCCTGCTGTTAGCGCTCGCCCGCCTGGCCTCCTCCTAGTGCCGCTCGGCCTCCTCCTAGTGCCGCCCGGCCTCCTCCTAGTGCCGCCCGGCCCCTTCCTAGCGCCGCCCGGCCTCTCCTCAGCGCTGCCCGGCCCCTCCTCGTGCCCGACCGGCCCCAGCAGCACCAGCCTGGCCCCTCCCAGCACCAGCCCGGCCCCAGAGCACCTGCCCGCCTCCCCTGCTTGGCCTGCCGTGTCCTCTCGGGCCCTGTGTCTTCTGCTTGCCTGCGCTGGGACGCCTAGCTGCTGCCCTACTGGAGAGTGCTGCCGCCGTGTCCCCGCGCCGCTGTGCTCCTGTGCCGCTGAGGAGCTGTGCTGCTGTGCCGCTGTGTCGCTGAGGAGCTGTGCCGCTGACCCTGCACGATGGCTGACTTTGTGCTCCGCCTGGACGCTGAGGGCCACGCGGTTGACTTCGCCGCCTGGCTCTCCGATCTTCGCCGCCAGCTTACAGGTCAGCGCCAGGATGGCCACTCTCTGGTTGTCCATGCTGATGGCTTGCTCCCCCGTCCCCCTGCACCTACTCCCCTCCCTGCTGACCCCTCCTCTGATGACCGTGAGGCTTTCTCTACTGCTGCGCTGGCCTGTGCGATCTGGGACTCACGCGATGCAGTAGCTCAGGTTGCTATTAGTCACGCCCTCCCTGTGTCTGAGCGCTCGCGTTTTGCTACTGTTGAAACGGCCAAAGCTTATTTAGACGCCGTTATTGCTCGCTATTCCACCCCTGCCTCCGCTTCTGCTGGCCGCTTGCTCTTTCCGATGCTGTTCCCAGACCTGGCTGCCTTCCCTACTGTCGCAGATTTTGCCACTCATTTGCGTGCCCTAGAGACTCGCTATCGCACTGCCAGCACTGCTGCCCAGCTCACTGCGCTCCCCCCTCCTTTCTGCATGACGCTCTATTTTATCGCTATGCGCCTGCCAGACCGCCTCGCTAGTGCTCGCGACCACTTTCTTAGCCAGCACCCGGGTGACCTCACCCTGACCGCCTTTGTCGACACCCTCACTGAGATCGAGACTCGCCAGCGCACTATCGCTCAGTCGAGCGGTGCGCCGCCAGTCTCTATCTTTCACGGCTGTGCCCCATCCCCGTGCACGTTCACTGACGTTTCGGCTGCGGTCGCCACGGCGACCCCTCTTACCGAGACGGCTGCTGCTGTCCACCCGCAGCAGCGCTCGCGTCGCGGTGGCCGTGGCCGCCAGGGAGGTAGGGGTGGTGACGCAGGTGGTAGTGGTCGTGGTGGTGGTGACGGTAGTCCGCCTGAGGGGACTACCACCGGTGGGCAGGAGCAGCAGTCCCAGCAGCAGCAGGACCAGCCCCAGCCGCAGCCGCCGTCCCAGCAGCACCCGCCGCAGCCGTGGGCTCGTCTCCCGCCTGGTTGGCCCGGCACCTCCGGAGGCGGTGGCCGTGGTGGCGGCCCGCGCAGCTTGGCGTCTACCAGCGGCTCCAGTGCTGTGACCTGCCAGTACCAGCTTCAGACCGGGCCTCTCCGCGGCACTCTGTGCCGCCGCCCGCACCCGACCGCCCGCTGTTTCCGCCGCCTCGACGATCTTTTTCGTCGTCGCTTTGGCCCGGCCCCGGACCTCCCTGACTGGCACAGCCTGCTCCGCCAGGGCGTGCCGATCTTTGAGTTAGACATGGATCAGATAGGTGCTGCTTTGCATGCTTTGTATGCTGACGCTTCTAGTGTTGATGGATCTTACTACCCTGTGTACTCTAGTTTAGGTGTTTCACCCTTGTGTAGCTTAGCTTCCCCTGCTGCGACAGGCGTAGGACTGCCTAGGTTGCCTAGTCTAGTCGCTGCACCGGCTCCGTCCCCGGCCCCCGCCACTGCGTCGCTGTCCTTCACTCTCGACTCTGGTGCTTCTGCCTGCTTCTTCCGCGACCGTTCCACGCTCACGCCGCTTGCTGCACCTGCTGTTGTCTCTCTCGCTGACCCCTCTGCGGGTCCGGTCGTCGCGCGCAGTTCTACGTCCCTTCCCTGTCCGGCAGTTCCCTCGGGCTCCCTTACTGGCCTCCACGTTCCCTCGTTCTCCAGGAACCTGGTTGGTGTCGGCTGTCTCCAGGACCTCGGCGTCACCACCACGTTCCCCGGGCACGAGCGGTTCGCTGTCTGTTCTGAGGCTGTCTCAGGTTCCCCCCTTGCGACGTTCCCCCGGGACCCGGTGTCCGGTCTGTTTACCCTAGACACCGCTTCCCCCCCGGTTGGTGCGTCCTCCCAGGTCGCTGCAGCTTGCTCGTGTCGGTCCCTCACTCACCCCTCCCTTCTCTGGCACCACCGCTTAGGTCACCCTGCTCTCCCGCGTCTGCGTCACATGTCCCAGCACGGTCTTGTCTTAGGTCTCCCCGCGTCGCTCCCTGCCCTTCCTCCCTCGACTGCGCCACCGTGCACGCCTTGCGTCGAGGGTCGGCTCCGCCGTGCTCCTCACTCCTCCTCGCTGCGTCCTGCTACTGCCCCCCTTCAGACCCTGCACTTGGACGTTTGGGGCCCTGCCCCCGTCCCCGGACCGCGCGGTGAGCGCTACTTCCTTGTGCTTGTCGACGACTACACGCGCTACACCACGGTGTTTCCCCTGGAGCGGAAGGCCGACGTGCCCGACGTTCTTCTCCCGTGGGTTGTGGCTGCGCGTCTCCACCGCGGTCTCCCCGTGTTGTGTCTCCACTCCGACCGTGGCGGCGAGTTCGCCTCTGGTCGGCTTGGACAGTTCTGTCGTGCGGAGGGCATCACCCAGTCGTACACGTTGCCGGACTCGCCACAGCAGAATGGGGTTGCTGAGCGCCGCATCGGCTTGGTCATGGAGGTCGCCCGTACCTCCATGATCCATGCCGATGCCCCCCATTTTCTGTGGCCGTTCGCTGTTCGCTACGCGGCTCACCAGCTTAACCTGTGGCCACGCTCCCAGCGGCCGCAGGTTTCGCCGACCCTCCTTTGGACCGGGTCCCCCGGTGACGCGTCTGCGTTCCACGTCTGGGGCTGCCTTGCTCACGTTCGTGCCTCTGGCACGGACAAGCTCACTGCCCGCACTGTCCCCTGTGTCTTCCTGGGTTTCCCCCTGGACTCGTCTGACTGGCTTTTCTACCACCCGCCGTCTCACCGCTTCCTCCACTCTCGTGACGTCACCTTTGATGAGTCCGTCTCCTTCTACCGCCGCTTCCCTCACCGAGGTCTCCCAATTGCCCCCCCCCTGTTCCTGGCTCCCTCTCCCCCGGTAGCCCCTGCCCCTCTCCCGCCTCGTCCTGCCCCGTCTGGTGTCTCCCACGTCACTCCCCTCCCGTCGGTTGTCCCCGTTGAGGAGTCTGCTGACTCTGGTGGTACCCCCGGTCCGTCCTTGCCGCGTCCCCCTTCCCCGGTGCCTCCGCCCCCACTGTCGCAGTCGCCGACCCCGCTGCCGCCGCCGTCGCCGTCGCCGCCGCAGCCGTCGCCGCTGTCGTCGCCGCCGCCGCCGCTGTCGCTGCCGCAGCCGTCGCCGCTGTCGCCGCCGCCGCAGCCGTTGCCGCCACTGCCGCCGCTGCTCTCGGCCCCTGGGGGTGCTGGTGTGGAGGAGGGTGTTCGTCCTGCGGCTTCTGGGGGTGCCGCTGGTGTTGGAGGGGGTTCTCGCTCTGGGGGTGTTGGTTCTGGGGGTGCTGCTGTTGAGTGTTCTGCCGACGGTCGTTCTGCCTCTGCTGGTCCGAGAGTTCCGGCCCAGCCGTCGTCGCCGCCGCAGCAGCCGTCGCCGCCGGTTTCCGCTCTCCGCCTGCTCGGCCTTCCCTCCCCGGACCGCGCGCCGGTGTCTCCCCCACCGCCTCCTGACCTCCCGCCGCCAGACTCGTCTCCGGCCCGTCTTCCTCCTCGTTCCCCTCCTGTGTCTCCTCCGCTGTCCCCTGACCCTACCCCTCCGTCTCACGTTTGGGCTCGCCGTCCCTCCCGTGCTCGTCCCGTCTCTCCTGTCCTGCCCACCCACCCTATGTTGCTCCGTTCCCACTCGTCTCATCCTCCCCTCCTCCCGTCCCCTCCTCCCTCGTCCCTTGCTGTTGCACCTCCTCCGTTCTCTGACTACCTCCGTGCTGCTCGTCCCCTTGTCCCTCGGGTCCTTGCCTCTCTTGTTACCGACCCTGCTGTTCCTGTCTCGCGCCTTGACGCGCTTGTCGCTGCTGTCGCTGACTTCGCTTCTACCCGCCGCCTTGACTACGCTA